CAAAGTAGACAAGAAAACAGGATAAGAAGCTAAGGGTTGCGGTCAAAGACGACAGATGGCCCTTACCACGTCCTGAATGAGCGATCGCATCTCCAGGTGACGAAGCTTCAGTTTGTCCATTTCGACCTGCAATCGATCAATGTGTTCCTTGTAGACATCGTCCAAGGGTCGAAAGGTATGCTGACTGTGTCGGGACTCAAATAGAGCACACTCATGACAGATTGCACGGTCACAGGTCTGGCAGAAGACGGAGAGTCGTTCACGGTGTGGCTCACATCTACGGATCCACAAGACCAAAATTAGTTTAAAATTTAAGTGAATAAACAGGATATACCCCTTTGCCCTTAATAAACTACTGTTACCATTAAAAATAGTAAGATGGAGATGAATCCCTACACAAACGCGTTGGCAATTTTGAGTAAAGGGGAGTTTCACCAATCAGGCTCCCTACAAAACGTACAGCTGTGTCTTAACTCCGTAGATATCCCTATAAAGGGGTATCCTCCAGGTCGTCATTACTGCAGTTATCCTATGGTCATCTGTTTTGTCGGTTTCGCTGCAGTGCCCGATTCCGCCCACCGTGGTCTCCCCTGCGTCAGCAAAAATAGCTACCATGGTAAGGGCGTCTTCTCGTTCATCGAGGGCACAACTTTTATTCATATCCACAACGCAAGGGTGTTTGATGGCTTTCGAGAAACCTGTATTCTATCGCTCATCCTATTTAATTACGCCATCGAATTGATGCTCAAAAATTTCTTTATGCTGTTTTAACCGCGCGGAGTTCTCGCCTGGACTGCAGTTGGCCCGTCTTTACTATTTCGACGATATCATCCAGGTAGCGTCAACCCATGATAACCCACAAAATGTATTGGGTGGTGCAGGCGGAAACGCTGCATAAAGCAAAACTGCCATGAACTGCATCGCGCGGAATAGAAAAAATCAACCCTCTGGATTAACGGTTACCAACGCGAAATGGCTATTTTCACATATTTTCGGGCTGCAGTCTGCCCAATGGACGATACCTTCACCCAAGTCACAAGATTTGCGCGAAGGTTTGAAAGCACCCACAGACTCGTTCTGATAGGCTATTCTTCGTAAAGATCCACGTACACTGTGCCCCTGAGTAATTAGACCTACTCTGATCGTGAATGTTCGGCCGTGCGTGGAAGACGACCAAATAGATGGGACGCGCGAACCCGCAGTCATTAG